AAATTTTATATTTAAAAATCTTGGCTAAAATATATCTTTGTGGTATTAACAGACTTTAAAAATCTAAGCTTTTAAGAACAGTGTGGTATAGTGGCTAACACACAGGCTCTCAGGCAGACTGTGTCTGAACCCTGTTCTACAACTTATTATTATGCCTGTATTGTTATTAGTGTAATATTATTATTACTGTACTGTATAATTATTATTGCTACAACTTATTCCCAGATACATGAAAAATTCATTGCATGTATGGAAGACTACCAAAAGAGCTGAACATAGTTTAAGTACCTTAGTGTTCAATTCTGACAAAGAATTTCATCAGAAAAGACATGTTCAGAGTTCAGAGAGTAAAAAAAAAAAAAAAAGAAAAGAAAAAAGAGGAAAGAAAATGAGTAACTGCAAAGAGAATTATTTTTCACAGTAAATGGTATCAGTTTTCCCCATCAAAAAAAACCTATATTAAGGTCTGTGTTCTGGAAGCCTAGCAGAAAAGCTGAGCCGCAAGAATGTTCTTGGAATGCCCAACTCACCCCTTGTTCATCCAGTTTCATGAGCTGTTCCGTGACCTTGGGAGTGTTGAAGGCCAACCGCAGGCACTGGACATTGAGCTCGGGAATCACGTGCTCCAGCACTTCTTTCAGAGGCAGCCCTCTGGCTGTCGAGTGCTTGGCCGTCGAGGGAATGGCATCCTCCAAGACCGAACCTCTCAGTGTCATGAGCTGAAAGAGAGAGAGGTGCTGTGGTGAGGCCTCTCTGGGGCTTTGAGATGGCTGAACGCATGTCACACACACTGCAGGCCTAGACCGCGGGCTCCTTATAGGCCTGGGGAATGATGTATGATTGGTTACGTCATTGAGGGAGAAAGGATGAGAAGTGGGATAAGATATACACGGAAAACAAGGTCAATACTTTCAAGAAGACCTAGGTAAGTCCAAGGGAACTCAAAGCCTTCCAAAGGTATTTACTTAAATGCCAAATACAACATTTCCTTAAAGAGATCAATAAACATCAAGATCTCTACATGACTATATAATGCCACTAAGCCCACTAACAGGAAATTAAGAAGACGATATCCCAGAAGTATCTGAAGGATAAGTACTTACCATCTGGATGTTAAACCTTTTTGAATTATAAAAGGTAAAGGGGGGATAGGTTTTAAATTTCATAATGCAGTCGACAAGCATAAACTATTCATATCCCCAAATGCTGCTACGACAAGACAATGACTATAGTTAGCATAGCAGTACAGGCAACAGCATCTGAAATTACTTTAGATTTTCCCTTATTTCTTAAAATACCTTCCATTCTTAAAATACCTTCTGTTAATATCTTCAGCAAAAGCATTTCCCTATGTAATGATGATTTGTTAGAGAAAAGTTAACCAGACATGAAGCCTAAAGTAGTTTTAATTTCTAAAAATTTCCACGTGGCAAAGTTGTTAACATAATTTAAATACCGTATGGTGACATAAGAAAAAAACCCATCCAATGGAACACGTTTACACTGAGCATGTAGGTTGCCAGGCATGATACTGCACAAGAGCTACCAAAGCTATTCGGGGGTGGAGCGTACACGCTGAGGGATGCATGTGGCGTGTAAGAGGGTGAGAGGTCAGAAACACACAAACGCAATCTGGGAAGGACGAATGCACTAAGGAAGTTACAAGGTGAGGTCCTAAGACAGTCCAAAGGCAGAGAACGGATCACAGTGGCTCAGGGTATAAGGAAAGGCCCTAGTGGAAGAGGTGGCATTAAAAAAGGGCCATGAAACATAAGAACGATTTCTGTGAAAAGAAAACATCAGAGAGAACAGGGGCAAAGGTGTGGAGGTCGAACAAAACAGGGTGTGCGTGGGAAAGAGCGACTGCTATAGTTGGACCTAAGGGGAACACAGGGTGGGGTGGAAGGCGAGGCCCGGCCGAGCTGGGGAGAGCGGAAGGCTCAGGATGCTATGACTCCCATTTCTGGTCTTGGCTTCTACTCAGAGAATACTCCTGGCCTTTGTGGTTCCCTGTCCCAAGGCACGGATTATCTCATGAAGGGAAGAGCCCAATAGCTGAGCCACAGAAAGACAGCAGCTAACTTCATGAAAGCCAAAGCAGACGAGAAAAAAGATGAGTCATTTCTCACATCCGAATCACTAGGATTACCGATGTTTTTGTTAATGACTTCCAGAAACATGAAGTGAGCTCTCATAAGTCCTCGTGTTCCTATGCTTAAAAACACTCACATGCAAAAAACAAAAACAAACAAACAAACAAACCACTCAAATGCCATAAAGTTTTGTGCATAAACTGCTATGCCTTACGCTATGCCTTACAAATATACGTAAGGTCTTCTTTTGTTTGTGTTTTGCAATGTTTACTTGTATTGAAATGAAAGACATTTGTTTGTATTTCTGTTATCTTGATGCCATTTACCATAGCCACTGGGATGTCACTATAACGACCTTGTTTTCCTTTTTTTCTTGATGTATTTATCAGCAGAGAAATAAGTAACAGGAGAAGCCCCTGATACAAGTTACATCTTATTTCATTACATATCTAGTCAACTGGCTCCAACAGAGAGATTGAGGTAACTCTCCCACAAGGTCCAGGAGTCAGGGACAGGGACCAATGTCCACAAATATTTCTGTCAAAAGCCTTATAAAAATATTACAATTAAACCACATTTAAGGATTATTTTTTATTGGAAAGAAAAAATTACAGAAAAGCTAGTGGTAATTAAACATTAGAGAAAGGAAAAGGAGGGAGGGAGGGAGGAAAAGGAGGAGGAAAATGGGGAAAGAAAGGGAGGAAAGGATGAAGGGAGGAAGGGATGAAGGAAGGAAGGAGGGAGGGAGGAAGAGGGAGAAGGTGCTACCTCAGGCAACAGGCACACAGTAAGGAACAGCTCAGATGGAAGTCCTACCCTTGGGGCTTACATCCTAGTGGGGAGGGTGATTAAAAGCAAACAAAAGAAATAAGTATAATGTATAAGATAATGCTAAGTATCAATGAAAAATAAAGCATCGAATTGGATATGAAATGGGTAGGGAGTAGAAACTTAGGAGTGAGGATGGAAAGAAAGGAGGCAGGAGATGCCCGGGGGAGAAACAGCAACAGGAGCATCAGGGAGCATCAGAGCCCTGGGGCAGAGGAGTCCTGAGCCATCCCAGAGGGGAAGGATGCTGGTGTGGCCGGAAGAGAGGGAGCCAGGAGTAGTTACCGGAGTTGAGATGGGAGGGACAACTGGGAAGCAGATGAGCATGGTCTCCTAGGAGAGCAGGGACACTGGCTTTTTCTCAGAGGGATATAGAGAACACTTGGTGGATTTTGAACTGAGCAATGGCAAGATCTGGATTACATTTCAAAAGGATCCCTGCTGGGTAGAAAGGCTTCCTGGCAGAAGCAGGGAGACCAGTTCTCAGAGCAAGATGAGGACCAGGCCTAGCCAGGGGGTGGTGGGAGAAGTGGTTGAGTTCTGGATGTATTTTGAAGACAAAATCAACAAGTGTTGCTGACAGACCAGACCTGGGGGGCAAGAGAGAGGAAATAGTTTCTGGCCTGAACAAAAGAATAAGAAGATTGCCAGGAACTGAACATCTGAACATAAAACACAAGTGGTAATGGTTTTTGGAACAGCATGTGACTCGAACCTTTCAATCAGGGGCTAAGGAAACAGACCCAAGGGACATAACTCACTCAAATGGGTTAGTAGGAAAAGGACGGAACCCTATGACCATAAAACTGGAGGGAGGCGCAAGTAGAACATTTCGGGCCAAGACAGCAAGAGGGGAGAGAACAGAGACGGGAAAGGCAGGAGTCGGTGTGGTTCACAGACCACAGCAGGGTTTAGGACAGACATTAACACTGGGGGAGAGCCTGGGGACATGTGCAGTGCCTGCAAGGCACGCTGAGAAGCGAATGCCTGGAAGCCAGTGACAGGATCCGAGAGAGAAAGAACCGACTTGAAAAACTTCAACCTCCGGCATGAAGGAAGGGATGGGCGAGTGGCAATAAGATGAATTTAGATGGATAAAAACATAGACAAGGAAGACTATGATGGGGACTTCAATCGGAGTGGCCTTGGGAAGGAAAAAAGAACAGAACAAGACAGACAATAGCACTTGGAAATAAGGTAACTGAGGCTTCTAGAAATCTGGTAGGATCTGGGAATCTAGACCAAGCAACTACCTGCATACATTTCCAAAACATAGTATGTTTTCTGTGCCTTTCCTGCTCAACAAAAGAATTTACACTGCTTAACGATTAGCTCTGACATGGAGAAAATGTACACAGAGCACGTTAGTTCATTTCTCTCTGGCCACTATAAACAACACATTAGATATTAAAGTCTTGTCTTTAAAACGCCTATTTTTAATTTCCCCAGAGTTTGAGCTTAGGAACAATTACTAAGTGAAGCCAACCCCTGAAATTTGCTTTGCATTCAATGGGGGAAATGAAGCCAAATGCCCTATTTAAAGTAGTTTCGAAACCATTATTTTCTAGATACCTCACGGGAGTATCAGGCTTAATGCATAACAAAAACCCTAAAGAGAATTAGGAACTGAGAGGCAATAAATTGATAACTGGCCCAACTATACAAGATTAGAAAAAAGTCAAAGAAGAATCTCATGGTGCCAAAAGTTGTTCATGAGTTTAAAAAAAAAAAATGCTGCATAGGTTATTTTCTTGTATTTTTTAAATTTCTTTTTTAATCCAAGTTTCATTTTAAAATAAAGACTCATACAATTATGTGTATTTCGATTCCTAAGGAGCTCCAAGAGCCTGTTTCTTCCACAATTAGATAGCCCCTGGTTCAAATAGCTTGCATTCCAGGTCCCAGAGAATAGGTCCAAGAGATTGTAAAGTGAAAGTGGAAGAAGCATCTTCTTCCCTCTTCTTCAGTCCAGAAATGACCTAAGCAACAGATCACAAGAGTGGAAGTCTTCAGGAGCCTCCTCTTATCCGTACCCCAGCTCCTCAAGCTGGCCTGGTGCTTTCCGGCTGCCCTAAGCAAGACACGCAATATCCCATTTGGGATTCTGAGGGCTTCGATTTCCTTGGGCCACACTTAACAGACATATCTGTCCCTGAATCAAAACTCCCATTTACTGCATCTATCCAGAGCTAGACAAAAAGCAAGATTAGATTCAGCTTCAGATCTAAACCTCTTGTCTACCTCTATCACCACCAGAATTAATGAAAGGGGTCTTTGTTAATTCAAAGACATTTGTAACCCTGTGCTATTAAATTTAACTGCTTTGCCACTGCTACTACTCTATTTTTTTCCCCACTTCCGTTAAGCCTCAAACCTCTCTCATTTGCAACTTACCTCACTAGTTCTAAAAATTATTCGGTAGTTATATGGAGATCCATTTTCTTTCATTTCTTCTGGTTTTTCCCTTCGAATGCTCACAGCCACCGGACCAAGATTCTCATCAGCCCCAAAATAGTTCCAGTGTTCTTAGGTAAAATAAGACAAAACAAAGTTAGAAAATTTACCTAACACTTTGGAAATGTTATATTATGCTCGGTATTTCAGATCACCACTCAGAAAAATGTATTGATAAAATGTAAACATTTAACAAATATTAATATTCTTCAGTGAGTTATAAAAACAAAGACCTAGCAGCGCAGGTTTAGTTCCAGAGGAGATGACATTGAATAGAGGTGGCTTGTTGGTTTTTTTACCACTCTACAAATTACTATTTCTCAAAAGGAACTTGTGTTTTCTCCCTATATCCCACCATTTAAATAGGCTATGGTGTATGTGCTTCCTTGCCTAAGAAAAGGTTTGTGTCCAGGCTTTTTAGCTTTTGGTTTAAAAAAAAAAAAAAAAAAAGAAAAGAAAAGAAAATGAAACCTATCGAAAACAGAGCTTGAGGAGAGAGGGTTTTCCCCAGATTGAAAAAGATTCCCTGGATTAGAGAGAGGAATGCATGCGAGTCACTGAGCAGCTCTCTGCTCTGGGGCAGCCCACATAAGATGGAGCTCAGAGGAAAGAGCTTCAAGGTGCTCCACGGGGGCGGGGGCAGGACCCAGGGCTCTGGGCCCAGGTGACTGGTGAGCCAGGGTCCTGTCCTCAATGTCCTGGCACAGCCCAAGGCCCCGAACCTTAGCACAAAACCTCTAAGTACCTGGTGTTGAATTTACCTTCCTCCTGGCAAAACAGGAAGGTCAAAATCAGAGTTAATTTATAGAAAATGTTTAAAAGTGATATTTACTGTGCAAGTATATATGTCTTTAATTATGTCTTAATATGTCTTTATACAAATTAAAATTGTTAATATATACATGAGATGTTCACAGATGAGAAAGCTGATAAAACATGGAAATATATGAAAAGCTAGAGTACATAATTTAATTTTCAAAGCTCCAAACTACTTCACATTGTTCTATTTCATTTACATGTGACACAGCTAAATGACCGAGTTGTGACATGGTACATTATTCTCATATGAAATGCATAAATATTTGAAAATACATGTTATTTCCATACAAAATATGTAAGTATTTGAAAATCCATGAGAATAATAAGAAATAATAGTATAACATGTCTAATCATGTAGTTTTGAAATTTAAGTAATGCATATGAATATACTTTGCAAGTACTAAAGCACAATTACAAAAGATATAATTATAAATATTGAGAGCTTTCTAAGAATATTATCATAATCCATGGAAATTCAAAATAAAATCACAATGGGAATACACGCAACAAACATCTCATATGGACAACTGAGAAACAACCCAATAAATGTCACAAAATTCATGTATAAACACTCATGTACACCCTCAAAGCACAGCACATGAGAATCACACTCAGATTATTTACTCTTACTTTGCACACAATTCTAATAAGCTTGGTTGTCTGGTCTTCAAGCCCACGGCTTTATTTCAGAGGTGTGATAACTCCAGATGTTGACAAAGTCCAGGGTGTAGGGCTGATACAGACTTGCATGCAGACAGCATGTGATAGAACAACTGACAACAAGGAAGAAAACAGAAAGGGAGGAGACAGAAATAGTATAAAAAAGCAGACAAGAACTTAAAGAAAAACAAGACAGCAGTCTGGGGCCATTGACTGAAGGAGCAAAGAGCTTAACACACTTCAGTAACTGCGGAGGGTATTTTGATACTGCAGCACAGAACAATGGCGGATGCATCCAAGATGAGCACGAGTCACACTCATTATCTGCCCCTTACGCATCATGGACTCAACTGAAACCTGACTTTCTAGAAACTCCTCAAATACATCCCACGTACCTCAGGATGGGCAGGTGGGATGGCTGTTCTCAGCTGCTGGAGAAATTCACAGATACAGGGCAGCTATCAATTCAACCTCAGTAACCTCAAGTTGTCCTCGTGCTCAAGCTTTCCCTGGTCAGCTCTCTCTCCACAGCAGATGTTGCAAACATTCTCTATTCTCCCTCAACCTCCCCCTACCTACCTTTTCCTCACTCTTGGCAAATGACAAGACAGTATGTCTACATCACAAAGGAAATAAGCCATTTCAGAAGCAAACTTTCTCATCACCGCCATCATTCCCACAAACTTACCTGCATCCAGACTCTTGCTTCCTTTCCTTACAGTCCAAAGCCTCCCCACTACATCCTGGACTCTGCTCATCCCACCTTCCCAGGGACTCTGAGGCCTTGATCACTCTCTATCTTCAACTTCTTCCTTCTAACTTGCTAATTCCCATCATCATTTAATCACCTTTAAATATACACTTACTCTCAACTTCTTATCACCCTTCAGAACTGAAGAGTTATCTCCTCTTTCCCTTGTTCACTGGAAACTTTCTGAAATAGCTGCCTAATTCATCGCTTCAGAATTATTGTCACCTGACTTTCACTGCACAGGTCACCAATGGCTGCCTCAAAGTTAAAACAAATAGTACTTTGGGTCCTTACCTCGTACAAACTCCATGACATCTAGCACAGACGATTATCTCATTTTTTCTAGAAACATTCTTACTTCCTGGTTCCTGCGACGTCACCCTCTTCTGATTTTCCTTCTACCACTCTGGCTGTTCTTGCTCAGTTTCCCTTCTTTTTCTTTTTTGAATATTCCATCCATGCTCAGAACTTCAACTGCCATCTCCATGTCGACAACTCTCAAAAGTTCCCAGGTCCATTCCAGACTCCTCTAAGCTTGAGATCTCTGCATCTACCTAATGGAACTCTGTTAGTCCACATAAACCTACGTAGTTGTCCCTGCAGCCCCAGTCTGGCAACTGCTACCACCATCACACAGTTGCTCAGGCCAGACCCACTGCCACGCCCTGTGAATTCTAGTTCCAAAATACCTCTCAAATTGGTCCATGTTTTCCCATCCCGCTGCCACTGATTTATCCCAGTCATCACTTGCCTGAGTGTTTGTAATGGTCTTCTAACTGGTTTGTTTTTACCCAAACTGTGCACATAGAGGCCAAAGGATCTTTTTAAAATGCAAATCTGATCAACCACTACTCAGCTTAAAATCCTTAGTTTCTTAGATACTTTTCATGGCTTCCCAAAGGTCGGCAGAACCTGCTGCCAGCCTATCACTCCAGCCTCAACTCAGACCTCTCTCTCATTCTTCTAAACTCTGAGAAGAACCACCTATAATGAAATTCTCTTTCAGTTGTTCAACTTACTATGCCTTTTCTGATCTGAAAAATGCTGCCTAGAACATTTTTTCCGTAACTCCTCTTTATTTGGCTAAACCTTCTCATCTTTTAGGTCTCATGTGAAGTATGACTTAGACATCTTCTAAAAGAGAGATTGCACACTGTAGCAAAGTGAAAGTGTTTACTTTGCATATTGATACTAATACTTTATTTAAAAGTGTTATGAATTCACAAAAACATAAATTAGTGATACCAGATATTTAATATGTCTCAAATATAAAAACTTAGAAACATTTAAAATAAAAAATATAAATTTATAAAATATAAATATTAAACACAATCATTTTAGCATTACTGGTAGTAAAATAAAAATAGTGTTAAGAATAAACCCTATATAAAATAGACTAAAATAAATAACTTGTTAATAATAACAACTGGAAAATTAATGATCATTTAAACCTTTTTTTTTTTTGGTGTCATCATCAAAATCTGACTATATTTTTATGTAAATTTTCCCAGCTGCTAAAGAAACATATTTCTGAGTTGGGGGAATGGTGATGGGATAATTATAAATTAGCTTCAAACACTTTCTTCAGACTCTATCTTCAAATAAATCCACCTCTGGTTTGATAATGCTGGAAAACTTTTTGAATTTATGTGTGTTTATGTAGAAACATCAAGTTTTTTTTAATTGAAAAAGAGCTCTAGCTATTATTTCCAAAACAGCTTTTCCAGCCAGTTTTCACTGCTTCAGTTCCACTGGTAAAGATGGAGATTCTGGTCCAATTTTCTGCATTAAATTCACTACTATCAGGATCAAACTTTGCGTATTCAAAAAGTCTTTCAACTTGAATAAAAATTTTTTGTAATAAAGGCCTTGTTTTGGTGCACTGTCCATTTTTTCACTCCTGAGGATTATGGATAGAGAAAGAAAACTCCTTCCACGTGAACACAAGGTTATTCAATTCAAAATCCTAATGCAGCATGTAACCCTTCAGTAGAGAAGAGTTTGGTTCAGCAAGTCACCTTAAATTTTTGAGTTCTTAAACTTTGATCTCAAGACAAATGATTTCAGTTTTTTTTTTTTTTAAACTAAAATAATAGCCTTTTAGGGATATCCTTCAACTTTAGAGTTGCTTAGGGTCCTTGTGGCCACTCCTGGCTGTGCCTGTCCTTCACCTTCACTGGGCTGCACTACCTTCCTTCCTCTCAGACCCCAGCCCCAGGGCAGTGCTTCCAGCTTTGCTCCTTGATGAAGTATTTAACAGTTTTTTCCTACCAGCCATCTACCTCCATTCTTCACTGGTGAGGGTATCTATCAGTTGCAAGTTCTCCCAGCCAGATCTGCATGTCTTTCTTTTGGGGTGGAAAAATGGGGGTGGGAGGGACAAGGGAAGGGGAGTTACAGATGAGGAGGGTTGAAGAAAAGCAAGAAAGACTTTGATGAAGAAATGCAGTATAAGGAAAGTCAGAGGAAGAAAAGGGGAAGGGAAGAGGAATCGGAAACTAAGCAGGGTGCATAAAATCGCGGACGGATGAATTGAAATACAGGTATTACTTCACCAAAAATACTATTTTAGAGCCAGCGTACCGGAATGCCAAACACCAACATGGTAATCACATTATTATCATTAATATATTAATGATATAATGCGGTGAAGCAAAGCACTTTGCCAAACACTCTAACATCAGCCATGAAAATATAGATATTTCCTTCTTTTTCACAGATGTGGCAACTATGATTTAGAAAGGATAAGTTACTTAGTCGCAAGCAGTACATAGCAGTACCAGATTCAAGCACATTATTTTAACTGCTGATTTCAAAGCTCATTTTCTCAGCCATTATCCA